TATATATATATATATATATATATATATATATATATATATATAATAATTACAAGCAACACCAAAATAAATAAATGAATAAGACTATAAAAGAATGAATAGTTAGTTTTAGAGATGTATTCATATAATCTTAGTTCATAGGATGTTACCACACTCACCATACTATTTCAGTGTCATGTCATCGTGATATTATTTTTTTCCCTCACCTCACAAACTGATGGGGTCATAGCATACCTTACTACACACACAACATACATACACACACTCCAACGGTTAAAAATAAAGAAAAATTGTACCTTCACATGCGGTATCCTTACCGTGGTGCAACTGAGGGTTCAGTGTTGTGTTCACCACACACTGCGGTGCCACCTCAACCACCATAGTGTGCAATTATGGGTATACAGACCAGGCTTATATAGTACATTAATTATGATATTTGAATTTAAAATTAATGCATTCACAATGCATTGAACTCCATAGAATTCAATAATTGTTACATCATCTTTCTACAATCCATACAACTATATCATTTTTTTCCTACAATGCATTAAACTCTTTAAAATTTAATAGAATATTACAAAATGTAATTTATAGTATATATTTAAAAACTAAAAACTTTCATTTTTTACATTGAAGAGTTCAATAGTCATTGAACTCCAAATCTATTGAATGTCAATGTGACATCTGATAGTGGTAGAGTTTCATCTATTTAATGACACTTAGACTTGTCATATCATTCAACTTTCTCATTGAACTCATCATTGTGGATGCTTTTAGTGGTAATCAAACAACATCACTAACACGTTATTTATTTGTCTTATTTGGGTTTTTTTTCTTGTATATGATATTTATTTATTTCTAGAGAATATAATATTTAGGGTAGTTTGTTTAACCTCTTAACATTTCAATTAAAAAAGTCACTAAGTTGTTAAGTACTTGGGGCGTTTAGATAGGTTAAAAAGTATCTCTGAACCAATAAGCACACCAAAATATATCTCTGAATCACTCGACACATATAAACCTATTGAACCATTCATTTTTGCGAAATTTCCTTTTGATATAACCGGAAAACACAATTTCCACCTTTTTTCTTTGAAACATCCATGGCACTACACACACATTGCTCTCACCTTTCCATCGACGATACTCCTCCGTCTGTCCATATATACTCTAAATCAACACCACCTTTCTCGTCGCCTTCCACTTTCACTGAAGTCACCGCATCGTCGTAGTCCTTCCCTTCCGCTACCTTGCCGCAAGTAACTTTTTGAGTGTTTAGTGCTAACTTTTTTGTTATGAAATCGTTTCTTTTAATGTTGTTATGAAATCTAATGCTTTTATGTTTGCTGGAATCTTAAGTTGTTGCATTTGTTGAAATTGTTTCCGAAAATTGTTGCTGAAATATGATGTTTTTGCAATTGTTGGAAATGAGTTTCTAATGTAGCATTGTTGCCTTTTAATGTATTTTTTTGTTGCGAATACCTAAATTTGTTGTTGCAATTATTGATTTTTGTCAATCGGATAAAATTCCTTAAAGATCATTTAACTCGCAACTTCTTAATTGTATTCCCGTTGTTCTTTACCTCATTGCAGGAAATGATAGGATTGGTGAGCTTATGTTAAACCTAACAAAAGAAAAAACATGTCCTCCTTCAGTTCCTAGTATTGGATGTTGGTGGTTTTAGTGTCACCATGTCATTTTAAGTAACTAGAACTAACATGTGAGCTAAGGGGGCTTCAAAAATTGTATTCTATTATATGTACGGGGTTGTGCGGAGTGCACGCATGTATAAGATCGAATTAGAAGTCGGTTCGATGACTAGTCGGGGGTCCGGGGGCAGCGCCCCCGGGTCCGGGGCTTCCAAAGGGGCAGCGCCCCTTTGGCGGGGTCTAGGGGCAGCGCCCCTAGCGGGGTCCAAGGGGCAGAGCCCCTGGCTGGAAAGTTTTGGTAACCCTAAATCCTCATTAAATCCGGATTAATATTACTTGCTTCCAAAGCAACTAATGATGGCCCAACCTGGTAAAACCCTAATATTGTTTATTATATAAACGACTCTTCTTTTCAGAAGAGAGTTACAATATTAAGCTCTCGTTTTTCATCATACTTTCACAGAATCCTCTAGCATTTTAGCTTACGATTTCTGTGCCTAGAATCGTAAGTGTCCACTCGGATTAT